ATAAATGTGAACAAAGAAACCAAGCTAGAGACTCATTAGAGGAGTGTCAGTACCTTGACGAAATCCATTGGCGATAGAGATAAAGGAAAAAATGGCAGGAAAATTTTTATTCCTGCCATTGGCCCAATGACAGTGATCATAACACAATTTTTCCCTGCCATAGCTAACCACAGGAGCAGAACAAATGTGATATAGGGGATAATAATCTCAAGAAACTCTATGAGGAACTGGACGAAATGGAAAGCGCTATTGTGCCATACTTCCAGACTTTGTTCACACTGAAAGAAAGCCATGTAATTTAATTGAGAGGACCCCATTCAAGAAATTATCTAGATAAGGCACAGAGCGTATTGAGAGGCTAATGTGATACATGGGATAATAATCTCAAGAAATTCTATGAGGAACTAGACAAAATGGAAAGCGCTATAGTGCCATACTTCCAGACTTTGTTCACAGTGAAAGAAGGCCAAGTAACTCAATTGAGGGGACCCCATTGACGAAGTTATCTAGATAAAGCACAGAGCGCATTGAAAGGGTATTCAAGGAGGAAGTAACTAAAAATGTTGTAGTCAGCCTGGACAAAAAGATTGAGCACCAAGTCAGTATTCTTCCAATTTATTTTGGATTTTCTTAAACCTCAAAGTTTTAATCATTCTTCATGAATTCTTCCAAAGGGGAAAGTTCAATAACGCATTGAATTCTACATTCATTGCTCTAATCCCAAAAAAAGACGGGGGGTGTTGTTACAGATTTAAGGCCAATTAGTCTGTTATTTAGCGAATATAACACAACCACGAAGACGCTGCCAAGCAGGTTGCAAGAGGTGTTGAATGAAAATGTTTCACCTCCACAGTCAGCGCCTGTGAAAGATTTACAAATCCTTGAATGAGTACTTGCAGCTCATGAATGTTTGAGCTCTAGACACAAAGGTGTGGGTGTGGCCTGTATATTGGATACGGTAGAGTAGATCGGGCCTAACTTGACAAAATTATACAGCTCATGAGATTCGACCTCAGATAAAGCTGGATTGAGGGATGTTTATCGAATAGCTATTAGCTACTAATGAGAGTTGATAAATGGATTGCCCGAAGTTTATTTTCAAATGAGGCCCAAGGTACGGAGACCCCATTCTCTCCATTCCTCTTCACAGTTGTAGCAGAGACTTTTTAATGGTATGCTGGGGGGAGTACATGCTGCTGACAAGTAGCTTAGCTTCAATCATCTGCAAATGGATCAATATGCCTAAAACGAGATCAATAGGTCTCATTCATAGGCAGCCGATTACATGAGCTAGTCAAGCTATTTTGGTTGTGGAATGGATAGATTGCCTAATAAAATAGCTCGGGCGCCTTTGCCTTGTGGAAATCCAGTACAGAAAATTCAAGTGGAAACATTGGACGTTTGATGAGAAACTAGCTCTTTGAAAGACAAACTATCTGCTATGGGAGGAAGGCTAACATTCAAGTCAGCATTGATGAATCTGCAACATGATACTTACTATCTATTCACGGTAACTAGTTCAATCTCAATAAAATTAAAGATGCGACCAATTTTTGTTGGGTGGATCATCAAACAAACGAATGCATCTCCTTAGATGTGATAAAGTAGGTCTCCCAAAGAGTAAAGGGTGCTTGGGAATTCCGATAATTAAAGTGAACAAGGCATCATTGTCCAAATGTGGTGGAGGATAGGAACTCAACCAAACCATCCATGGATACGAGTGTGGAGAATTCGAGTAGTTAAAGAAGTGAACAAGGAATTATTGCCTATTTATTCCAAAAACAAAAGGATTATTGTCTAAAAGGTGGCAGAGGATGGGAACTCCATCAAAACATTTATGGGTGCTAGTGCTGGATAGTAGATATGGTGAGAAAGGTTCATTTGAGAAAACGCATAATATTACGACTATTTTATCCGGTGCATGGAGTGGAATCAGTAAGTGTCCGCAGGAGTTTTTGTGGAAAATTGAAGTTCAGATAGGGGATGGAAGGAAGGCAAGTTTATGCTTGGGTCCGTGGGTCAGACAGCAATCTATCAAGATTCAAGAGTACCCCAGCCCTTCTCTGACAGCCTCAAATACAAACGTAAAAGCGCATGAAGTAGTCCAAGGTTTAAGGTTTTCGGCCACATGGACTCCACATTTCTGGGCAACTGAAAAGGGATGAAGTGGATGTACAGCCAGGTCTGTTATCACAGCTGCAACAGATTTTCTTTAAAGACGAGGTTTTTTTCCTTTGAATTCCGTACAGCAAGGCTGAGTTCTGTAAAATCCATGTACCATGTACCTACTAGAGATCCAGACACATTTGTTGCAGCCAGTAAAGTGTGCGACATTCCTGCCCCTCCAAAACATAGTGTTATGGTTAGCCATGACTGATAAGGTGTTAATCACCAAACACCTTAGGAACAGAGGTTCAGTTATTCTTAGAGTTTGTGTGATCTTCAAACAGGGGCCTGAATTGGTATACCAGCTACTCTTACAATGTCCACCAACGAGCTCTGTAAGGTCCTTTGTTCTAGACTTATTTGGGCTGTATTGGGTTACTGCAGCATTAATCGAAACAAAATTGCAGTAGTGTTGTACAACACCACACCCTAAAGCAGCCACTATCCTTGAAGGCTGACATAACTTAACAGTCTCATGCCCTACCTGGATCGAGGGCAAGGGCAGGTGCTTCATTGATCACAAGAAAAAGGAGTCTAGAAGAAGATAATAAGTTAAGGCCATGTTATAGCACGGCCAAAAACAGATGACAGATCAACAATTTTGGAGATAGACAATGAATGATTTCAAGAACATACAGTTGGAAATTACAAATGTCAAATGCAAGAGAGAAGATAAGTCTCCAAGGGAGTTCGGAAGTTCCCTTGGAGTTCAAAAGGCAACCCAGCTGATGCTGGCATCAGAGAGGTAGGCATATATTACTTACTAACTCCGTGCTATTCCATCGATGTAATTCAATAGAGGTTGAGGTTTGGACCCTGATAATGGGACCTAAAATTTGACTCCATAATGTAGTTAAGTCATCTCCAAGGGAATTCCGCCTCTGTCATCACCAGGATTAGTAGAATGGACAAATTCCCTTGGCAACTAATAATCATATTTGAAAAATTTGCTAATTATATTTTAGTAGAGAAAGATTTCCAACATACTTGGAACAAGTCTAATGTCGTGGAGGGCTCCTTAGCTAATGCAAAAGTTTTGAAGTCTTCTTAGTGAAAAATTATGTTAATAGAATTACACAGGACAGGAAATAGTCCACAGATTGAGACGAAACGTACACTCATTATAGATTCAGGATGACGTAAATTTTGTGCATCAGGTCTTGAATTTCGGTGAAGAAATAAGTTGCAAGGATATTTTTTAATCAATGAAATCGAACTAAATATTGTCTAAAGAGAAAGGAAGGTTAACATACAACCACTATATAATGCAAAAAGAACTTATAAGCCCTCCCCATTAAACAAGATTGTGCATGGATGCAGAAAAGGCGCAACACGTGCACACGCACACAAAGAGGTGATGAGCACATCTAATCCAAGAGAAGTAGATTTAACATTGAGGCACTCAACATTTCCGGAATCTACTCAGTGGTCCAAGTTTTTAGCATTTCAATTAGCAACTTCTATTTTGATTTATGACTGATCCTTCTTCTAAACACTAAAAAAGGAGAGGAAAGGAGAAAGACCGCGGGGTGGTGGAGGTGGTTCATGGCTGCTAGTCAACGTAACTTTTTTTTATTTTGTCCCAATAAGCTAACATTTAAATGAATTATGTGCTACATTGGGCTTAGTTATGGAGAATGTCTAGGTGCCACTGTGGAAGAAGATGCAAGATGCTTTCTAGTGACTAAGGTTGATAATGCTACTATAAGATGTGAGTACAATGTTCTAGCGACTATGGTTGGATCAATTATGAAATAGAACAGAAGTCTAAAGAACCATACAAATATTCATCATTAAATATAGCTACAAAAATATAGAAACAAAGAGTCTCACATGGGCTAGCAATCATCATGTATATAATAAAAAGTACTACCAAGGAATACCAACTAAGCCGTCTGATTACGTCTAAAAGTGAAAAAGTGGAATTGACGTGTGCATTTTACTTGCAAGTACAAGAACAAGAAATAAGAAAAATACAAGAGTAATCCAGTGATAGGATCGCATGGGTCTAAATCTAAACATCCACTATATACTATTCCATGCATGCCAACAACTAACAAAGATCAGCGTTGTCCTATAAAAACCCACAATTAACCCATATGTTTCCTTCCAAAGAAGGACTTTCTTATATCAATCAAGCTATGAATCCACGCTACACTCTCACTAATGAGCACATGCTAATGAAAATGAAAGGTTAGCATATAGCTACAGATACCAAATTGCATGAATTGACGTGTGCATTTTACTTGCAAGTTCAAGAACAAGAAATAAGAAAAATACAAGAGTAATCCAGTGATAGGATCGCATGGGTCTAAATCTAAACATCCACTATATACTATTCCATGCATGCCAACAACTAACAAAGATCAGCGTTGTCCTATAAAAACCCACAATTAACCCATATGTTTCCTTCCAAAGAAGGACTTTCTTATATCAATCAAGCTATGAATCCACGCTACACTCTCACCAATGAGCACATGCTAATGAAAATGAACGGTTAGCATATAGCTACAGATACCAAATTGCATGAAGATTTTCATTCGCCAAAAAGATACTTATCCAAAACCTCCATCAGAAAAAACATGAACAACTAATATACGACCATTAACAAAAAGTCCCATAACGACCAACCCAAGAGCTACATGGTTAAACATGAAAAACAGCATATAACTAACAGGAAAAGAACCAAAATTAAATAACTTATCAACCAATTAAATAGCTAATCAATGCAATAAATACACATAAAGAGGGGAACCTTGAAAGCACAATCTGAAAGTCAGTCCCCTAAAACATGAATATAACCAAAAAATTGAGATCATTTTAATGGACAATACCCTAAACGATGGTTGGAATTCAGGTGGAGCGCCTTCCTTGTCACCAAATTCACCAGGAGGTCCACGAGGACCCCCACGGTACCCATCTCGATCGCCAAATCTTGGCCTTTCACCATCAAAACGAGGTGGGCCCCTGCAAACACAACACAAACAATGTCCAAAATACTTAAAACACTACTAACATAGCTCACCAACAAACATCGAAAGAAAATGATTATGCAGAAGAAGAGAAAATGATTATGCAGAAGAAGAAGGAAACTGAAAAAAAATTAGGGCTCTAGATATCCCTTTACATGATAAATTTAGGTTTTACCTAGGCCTATCACCAGGCGGGCCCAAGGGTCTACCACCGGGCTTGACTGACTTCTTCAAAGTTGCAGGAACGATTTCAGATGGGAGATTGAGATAAGTGCGAAGATATTCGATCCCATCGTTCGTGAGGTACCAATAATAATGCATCCACGCAAATGTCTCACGAACATATTCCTTTGATTTGAAGCTCTGCATGAGCTTTATCACATGGAGATTCGGAACATCGATGTTAGGGTGCTTTTCCAGATTGTAATCTTTCTTGGCATGGAGCACCCCCTCTGTGATTGCAAACAAAATACATAGCATGAGAAACAAAGCTTTAGAAAGGAGAACCTTCTTCTTTTATTTAAGAAAGAGTAATGACAAATCATGCAGTAGAGAGAGAAGGGAGTAGAAAGAAAGGGAGGACCTTGAAAGAGGTACTTGTACACCTCGTTGCGGTTCTTCTTCGGGATCAACTGAACCAGCAGAGAAATACAAAATGAGATAGCTTCATAAGAGTTTCAGCAAAAAAATGACTGCTAAAAGTAGAGCAAAGATACAGACCATTGTTGCTATTTGCTAGAGAGAGGCTTCTTCGCCCCCAAAACGAACCACAGCAATGAGAACGAAAACCCTAAAACCAGTTGTCTTTGAAGGGGGCTTCTTTGTGGGCAAACTTTCTCTACTTCTCCCTGCTGTATAAAATTTATATACTTCCCCGATCCAACCGTCCATTTTAAATGGATGGTTGAGATAGCCCCAATCACAACGTCATGCTATTTTATTTGGGAAGGAGAGGCATGAATCAGCTCTTAAAAATCTATTTTGGAGATGATTTTTTGACCTAATTTTTAAATATAATTAATCTCTAATATGGAGATCATGAATATAAAAATAAATAAATAAATTTTACAAATTAACTATAATAATTTCATTAAAAAAAGAAACTTGAATGGTTAATTTTAATTGTTTTTAGATAGCCACCTATTTGCATCCATTTTTAAGATTGATTCTTTATACTTCGGGGACAGTAAAAGTAGAAATGCGGTCGTACCAAACAATTTCTTTTAAAAAAAGTTTTTTTGACAATATTTTGAGATATTTTGGGCAGCAACTCCTCTCTTGAACTCATGCATGTAAAAAATATAAAAAGAATATTTCTAGTCAAATAAAGTAACCAATACCCTTACAAATTTTAGGGCTATTTTGATATATTATTTTATCAAAAATATTTTTTAAGTGCACCTCATTGAGATGATGATACTTTCTAAATTTCCATTGAGATGATGATACATTCTAAATTTCATATTCGTATAATTTGCAGAAAAAATTAAAAACAAAATAGCCTTGCAAGTTTCAAGGGTATTTTCGTAATTTTATTTTATAAAAAATATTTTTTAATATTTTTTTAGGTGAGCCTATTGAGATGATGGCACGTTCTAAATTTCATATTCATATAATTTGTAGAAAATAATTTAATATAAAATACTCTAAAGAGTGAGTGACTCACTTGATCTATAATTGGATCGATAGTTGGGAGAAGTATATATCTTTTATACAGTAAGAGAAGGATATAAACCTTTTCCTTTTGTGAAAATCTATCACTAAGAAAATGTTACTATATTTCCTCTCAAGATAGAAGATATATATTTTCCTATCCAGCCATTGAATTTAGATCAAGCGAGCCACTAACCATTTGATCTTGGATCTGATGTGTCGGATTATTTTATTTTTAATTTCTTTTACAAATTATATAAATATTGAATTTGGTAATTCTATCATCTCAATGGAGCGCGCCTAAAAATAATATTGAAAATATATTTTTGATAAAATAAAATACCCAAAAGACCACTAAAACCAAAATATTTCTTTTCGCATGATACTATTTAATTAACTTGTCCAAATAAATTAAGAAATTCTAGATCGATTTTCACGAAAAAGGAAAATAAAAACATTACATTGATTTATTTAGAACGAGAAAAAATTTCCCAATGAAGAATTACAAAGATGGACCTTGTAGCCTTATATTATATAACTTGAACAAAATGAAATTATAATAAAATTTATCTCCTTGGAGAGCCAAATAAAGGCATATCCTGAGTTGCATTTAGATACTATCAAAGAGGATTATCATATTTCCTAGGAGTTTTATCTGGCAGATGTATATCCGAGAATATGCATCCCTCAAGCAAACGTATTTCCAAGTACCCAAACGAGAAATTAGACTTGTCTTTATAAATTTTGTGATCTTCTCTCTTCTTGATAGCTGTCTTATTCTCTATTATTTAAAGCTACATATCCTACGTTTTAAATGTGACTCAATATCAGATAATTTAAGCCAAATTATTAGATTATCTTGTATTTTTCCATTTGAAAAACAAGCATGATTGGGTTTGTATGATTTGCAACTCAAAATCGAGACATTTACTACCGGTTCTACCTAGACCAAATTGTGGGTATGCATCCTATTGAACTTAGCGGCCAACCACAATAACAACAACAATAATAAATTGAAAAATATTGAAAAGGGACCATCGATGATTGGATCTAAGTGTTTTAAGGAGAGAAAAATAATAATAATCTTAATTGTTGCTTTCCTCTTTGTTTCCCTAAAATACATTTGATGATTTCTAGGTACAACTAAACATTTTTAATTGAAAAATATCATTCTAAATACCTCATTGGCCCATGGGAGCAAACAATTGTACTCTCCCGTGAAAGCGTAGTATATGTTAGCAAATCTGGTAACCCCAATTTCTACTTCATGTGGTAAACTATTCACAACAACAAATCTAACACCTTAAAGTGATTTGCCAATCACTGACGAGCCAGTTTGAAGAAAACTAGATGTTGAAGAATAAAAATATACGTGCCAGAAATGGGGAAAAATATAAAATGGACAAAAAGCTATGAAATAGGAATCCAAGAAAATACAACACACATGCACATAGCAAAAAGCACATGTCAATTTATGTGGTACACCTAAATGGGTCCATGCACGGGCAACAAGTAAGAATGCATTCACTATTAATGGAGAAATTAAAAGTTTTATGGATCTTATAGAGATTACGTAGCAATGGTAAAGAAAGTTCAAATCATTTTTATTCATGCCACAAAGACACCATTACTCAACTCCTTTATTTGATGCAATTGCCCGACCGCTTCTTTGTAAAGAAATGTTGGTAAGTTTGGCCTAGGGCACAACAATGCTAGGGTTTGCCAATAGATATGCACTCTCCCAATCCCTCTTTTCCAAAAACTGCTTAATTCTCAGTTTTCTTCTCTTCTACGGTGACTTATATGTGCTCCATAAAGGTAATTTTTGCATTTGACCAAATGACTCTCGACACAGGGAAATATCAAATAAGAGGTGATTTTGCATCACCGTCCCAAAACACCTTCATATATAAAAGGGATACGAGACATCATACAATTCTCCTATAGGAACAAAACGTGTACTTGCTTGCTTTGGTAAATGACTTACTTTATGAGGATTTCTATGATATTAAACTATAGGATCTACCTTAGAATTTTTAAGTGACCATTTTCCAAAAGAACAATTGGGCTCCTAATTTTCTAAAAAAAAAGAAGAAAAGAACAATTGGGCTCCTGATCATTTTTGAGAGAATAAAATAAAATAAACAAAGCCCCATAATAATCGAACTGGGAACTTATCAAGTTACAAAAACTCAAGACATCAAGATCGATGAAGCAACATATGCGTATGGAACACTGTCCCACCTTAGGGGTTTCTTCAGCCTCTAGTCCCTAGTTTTCCCTTACTAAGGACTAAGGTTTTTGGAAAATTTTATCGAAGATGTTAAAAAAGAAAAACACATTTCTTCAGGCGTGTTTGAAACAAAGAAGCGCATAAAAGTGGGAAATCGAAGCTTGAAAGTGGGAAAAAAACACACTTCTTCGGGCGTGTTTGAAACAAAGAAACGCATGGAAACAAAAAATACTCATTTCATGTGTGTTGGGGCTCTTGGTCCACCACTAGAGAGTCATTGTTACAGACAACAAAGATGGAACTACCAAGACACCTCGTAGATCAAGCAGAAAGCCAATATAGAACATCAATAAAATTGATATCCAAAGATATCAAGGATAACTCACACCCATTCACCAGAGCTCTACAAATGGTAAACAATATTTTTGACATTTGAATGTTCCGGCTGTGTTTGATCTAATGTAACATTTGTATTTGTGAAATGATCTAATGTAACGGTTGTATTATAGTATAATGCAACGACACTGTTAGAAACCCATGTTTGTGGTCCCAAATTTTGCACACACGTATTCTTCATCTCAATAATCAATCCAAAAAAAAAAAAGGTTCAATTACCCTAGATATGGTCAAAATGAGTACCATCCAAAACCGAATCTAGACCATTCATTTTGTGAATTTCAATATCTTCGCCTTTATAAACTCAAAATCATTTTATTTTTTTTACATTGTTCATCTAATGATAAATAAAACCATCCAAAAAAATTTGAAATGAAAAAATCCTTCTACTCACCAAAATGAACGGCCTATGTTAATTGGGCTTTTAAGGTTGTTGCATCATATTACTATACACGAAATCATTGCTATATATATATTATGTGCTAGACGACCCAAATTGACCTATATGGGCTCTGGACAGTTCATATTCATTGACAAAAGAAAATAGGAGGGGCATCTTTGTTATTTTTATGTATGATATTTTTTTTACAAATTATTTTTACCTCAAAAATTTCATCAAAAGAGGTTGTTTTGATGCTTAAATATTCTTAAATTGATCATCTCAACATCAAAATGTATGGACATGAGAAAAAAAATGGATTTCAAAGTTTTGGAAATAGTGTATCTTGTAATACATTTTTGGACCGTCAATTTTCAAGTTTTCAAATTTTCATAGATCTGTTTAATCTATACTATTTTTGAAGCTTTAAATTGTATAATTGAAGATGAAAATATATTTTAAGGCTATCACAAAAATTTCCAATATTGAATCCACATTTTTTTGACACTATTTGAGAGTGCGCTTTACTTTGATTGTTTGGAGCCTCAGCTCTATACAAATCGGGCCCTTTTCAAAAGGAAAAAGTTTATATAGAGCCGAGGCTCTAAACAATCAAATTTGAGCCTACATATAAATTTTCACTAGAAAATGTTGTTTTGATGCCCAAATATCTTCAAATCAATCATCTTGACATCGATATGCATGGACATGAGAAAAAAATGGATTTCAAGTTTTGAAAACAGTGTATTTTGTAACATATCTTTGGACAGTCAATTTTCAAGATTTTCAAGTTTTCATAGATCTATCGATCTATACTATTTTTAAAGTTTTAAAATTTACAAATTCATATGAAAATATATTTTAAGGCTATCACAAAGATTTCCAATTTTAAAACCATATTTCTCAACACTATTTGAAGGTAGGCTCTAATTTAATTGTTTAGAGCCTAGGCACTTTACAAACCACACCCTTTTTAAAATTATAGATATTCAAAATCTAAAGACCTAAAATTAATATTTTTCCCAATTTTTTGGATCCTAAAAATCCTATATTAAGAATTAAACTAATTTCATAGTTTTGGATTTTGAATATCAAACTTTTTTAAAAAATAATTCCAAATGTGATTAGTTTTGGATTTTGAAAGTTCACATGAGGGACTTTTTTAAACATCGACCTTCGAAATACTATCG